GGTCCCCGGTCCAGTACGGGGGCAACACTGAGGGTTGCGATCTGTTGCCAGACACGGAAAAAGACAAAAAGACAAAAAAAAAAAAAAAAAGATAATTTCTGAGTTTCCCTAGCTCCTTGTTGAGAAATATTTACTAAGATGGATTTATTGAAGAAATTGAAAATATGAATAATACAAGCTGTCTAAAAAGAAATATTTAAGACTATTACCCTAAGACTTATACCATTTTGGAAGACCCATAATGAAAGTTTAAAAAGTTGAAAAGACTGACACAATCTTTCTTTTCAGTCAGCTTGATGAGTAATAAACAACAAAAAAAGTAAAACAAATGGCACATTAGACACCTCAAATAGTTCACTCATGCATACTCCCATTAGTAACATCCCTCATCACATGAATTAGTTTTAAAGGGTGGGAGGAATAGTGACAAGATCTTTGAGGAAAAGGTAAGCACATCTGAAAAAGACTGAATATTCTCATATCTCCCTTTCCCCTTACCCCAAAGTTGTAAACTGCTGGCTAATAAATAATAGATCCATACAATTTTTAATTAGAAGGGTCAAAATAGATCATCTATTCCAACTTCTTACCTAATGCTGTAATTTCCTATACGGCATACTTGACAAAGGGTCTTACTGATCCCGGTTTGAAAATTTCGAATGACAAAGAAACCCCTGTATCACAGAGCAGTAAGCTTGGTTGTAAGTTAGTTCGATTAAATAACCACAAGGATGACAAAGTAGCAGCTTTATTTACACTTGAGCTAAAATGTGTCTAGCGTACTAGTATTTTGATTGGGACTGTGCTGAATTTGTGGCAAGTTGACACCTTAACAATATTGAGTTGTCCTTGCCATGAACATGGTTTATCTCTCCAATTATTTAGATATTTGATTTCTTTCATCAATGTTTTATACATTTCAGCATACAAATCTTGTTCATACTTTGTTAGGTATATTTCTAGGTATTTCACATTTTTTGGTGCTATTATAAGTGGTACTTTAAAAATTTTTAATTTCCAATTGTTCACTGCAAGTATGTAGAAGTGAAACTGATTTATATAGACTTTTATCCTTTGGCCATGCTAACCTCACTCAGTTCTATCAGCTTCTGTACAGACAATTTGGAGATTACCTACATAGACAATAATATTGCTATGAATAGACACAGGTATATTTTCTTCTTTTCCAATCTGCTTTTTAAAAAAAATTTCTTGTCTGTTGCACTGGCTAGAGTAGGGCAGGCTCCAGGAAGAAGTCCAAACTGGCTATATAACTTAGGTAAATGAATAATAAAAGTATAGAGAGCATGTAGAATACCAGGGAAGCAAAACCTCCCCCAAGTAGGGGAAAAAAGATACAGTCTTAAGAAGAAACACATTCACAGTGATAGAAGATCCAAAAAACATAAGTCTGTACAATGAGATGAAGTCAGAGAAATCTATTAATAGTGAATTTTACTGTCCTTTTAAACATTGACTAGCCATTTATATTTACTCTTCTGTGAATTGTTTATACAAGTACTCCATCATTTTTTCAATTACGGTGTTCACAATTTTCTCGTCTGTATACAAGAGCTTTTCACATAATGTCAGTTATCAATTTATGGCCTCTCAGGTCCAAATCCATCCTTCTTTGCAAAAACAGATGCAGAAATTGTCAGCTGATGCTTTGTTAATAAACGGCACTGGAGGGATATTGCAAAGTAGAAAGAAGGGCTCATCTTTCAAGTCAGGGTGTGCTCTTTTTCTTGTCCCTATGGTGTAGCTATTAGGTTTGTGGGAGACCCAATGATGATTGCCCTTCTGCAAGTTTCTGCATTCAGCCTCTAGTAAGTTTCTCCAGCTTCCTCCAGCAGGTGGCTTTCTGTACACCACTCTAACCCACAGCATCTCACTGGACAGGGTCTGGTGTACCAGCTCTGACCCATGACACCTCAGTGGGCAACTTCCTGTTCATCATCAGTGAGGCCCATACCACCCCAGCAGGCAGCTTTCCACCTGTCAGCTAGGGCCTGTGGCACCCCAGATGGCAGTCTCCTGTGGACAAGCTTTGGCCCGCAGCTGTGTCCTCCAGTAGCAGCTACACTCTAATGAGGTCTGAACAGCAGTCTTGGGTAGGGGAGCTCTTTTCCAAGTTTTTTGGACTCTCTCCCTCAGCTCAAGAGGTAGTAGTAGTTGACCCTTATATTTACTATTTCTAAATTCTTTAGAGTCCTATTTTATCCCTTTTAGTAGTTAAACACATTTTAACTACTAAATTGTTAGTTTTAAATATAACAATTCTTTATATTAAATCTTCCCTGTTAAAATGCCTGGTGTGGTTTCTGGCTCCTGACTATTCCCTGATTAATAGAGTAAGCTATTAAGCCTTTGTCTATATGCTATCAATACTTCTCAGTTTTCTCTCTTTTGTCTTTAACTTAAGCCACCTATTGTTATACCAAAGTTTTAAACTTTTATGTGGTAAAACTTCTAAGTCCTCTCTACTTTGGCATCTGTATTTCACTGTTCTTACTCCAAAGGCTTTCCCTGCTTCCATACTACAACATTTACTTACATTTTTTTCCAGTAGTTCTATGAAACAGTCTAGACTTACTGAGGCAAATATCCATATTTATATTTTTCTAAATGGTAAGCTCAGGAGTCCCAATAAGAGTAAATGATTTGAAAGTTTCAATATGAAAAATCCTACGCACTGTTGGGAGTTTGTTTCTGTATACTAAGTGGTTTCA